CAGGGACCAGGTCGGGCTGGTTGGGCCTAGCCCAGTCCATTTGGGCTGGGCCCAACCTAAAAAAATAAAATAAAAAATAAAAATAAAAAAAATAAAAAATATGCATACATGAATAAAAATAATGTAAATTTATTGGTTTATTCACTGACGCCAGAGTCAGGAATAAAAATACCAGTTTAAATTTGTATTATTTTATTCATTGTATTTTATTTTATTTAGCTAGAAAAATAAAAAAATATGTGCATATGCAAAAATAAATTTATTTGATTTGTTTATTCACTAACGCCGGAGTCAGGAATAAAAAATATTGATTTAGATTTATTTTGTTTTTATAGCTGCGTTTCTATTTACCAACGCCAGAGTTGAAAATATCCGTAGTTAAATATTCACTGACGCCAGAGTCAGGGATATTATAAGCAAATTATCATAGCGCAAACTAATAAGCATTTGGCAATTTAAGACAAAACTAGCAATGCAGCCTGCCTCAGGCAGGACGTTCAAGAGGTGATAATATCTTTTTTTTTTACGTAACCAGTCTCGAACCATAGAATCTTTGTTGAGCAGTTAGGGTTCCTAGTGACCATAATACTAGGTGGTGACTCCTTAAAGACTTTTTCCCCTAAAAGAATAGGATGCCAGAAATCCATTCTTTTCGTACATTAATTTTTAAGATCGTTGTGATGTTGAGTGTGACACCAGTGATCAGTCAAAGCACTAGCTATTTCGATATGGAACTCGATTTACCTCAACAATGATAGGTGGGTTTTTTTCTCTCTTTTCATGGACTTGTATTCCTATTCCCTTTTGATGAAGAAAATGCTTTCAGCCAACACAAGAACAAGAAAGTCATAAACTACTTTTCTTGCATGCTTAAGCACATCACAAGATCCTGATGTTGGATTGAGACCTGCTTTGTTAGATGCACATTTGTACTGCCTGTTGGAACAACAGTTTTGCAACTTAAATAACTTTGGAAATAAAGTTCTGTCGAGTAAAGTAGTTCATCGGAGTGTGTCTTGTTCGGTCTTACGTCCTATAGAGAGCGATCGGTGACATAAATAGAGAATAAAAGTATCAGTACTCATTCTGACAACATAAGAAGGAGACAAACCTGCATATTAAATGCAGCCATTTGAGCTCCGTGCATCCATCCAACGAAAGGATCGTTATTAGATGAAGTCATCCAGGTACTTTTAGGGTATACCCTCAACAAATTATGCCGGGTAAACCTAGAGGAGAAATCATTAGACTTGATTTTGAGATCTGATAATCAAGATGGCAAGTTAAATAATACTGGAGGTTATACTCGGTACCAAAACAAATATAGAAAAGCATGTCCTGCCTCATGAAGAAGCAGAAAATCCGAGGTGTTGAGACATTCTAGACTTCATGTTGTCCCTGACTTAACAACACAAGACTTCGTTTGAGAAATTTATGATCCTACTTTCTAATATCCTCATCAGAAAAGGGAATACCTAGTTATTAAGTTATAATTTATGTTGTCATTCAGCTTTTAGAACTGATTTGCTACTACTTTTTTTTTTTTTTTCATTTTAGATTTACAATCATATTATTCTAACCTAAGCTATCTGTCATATCAAGAGCGAGGCTGCTTTTATAATGGCTTTGTATTTTCTCCTGGACAAATTTACTTCCCTCACCTCGCCAGAATGAATTTGAGATTTTCTCACCATAGATACCGGACCGAGCCCAGCCCGACAGATTGACTTCAGACCCGAGATCTTGGCGAGATCTAAAGAAAAACAAAACTGGGGTTGCAGATGGCTTGTGGAGACTTGGGGCATCCCGCTGCAAACCCAGCTCCTTTTTTTAATAAACAAAAAAATTAATTTTCAAAAAACTATTTGTTAAGAGGTGGAACAAATTATCTCAGGTGATTACACCTGGCCTCACATTTATTTTTTTTAGTAGGTGCTCCCCATAACAAATTTCATTTTAAAGGTCAAAAACTTACTATTGAAGATAAAAGATAAGCACGTGGGAGTGGGGGTGACTAGTTGTTTTTCTCTTAACTGGCCTAATCTTACAAGTTTACT